TACTGCAGGGAAGACCTGCACTGGGGCGTGCAGCAGACCAGATGCACTTGGTGTCCGTAGTAGAAGGCAGGCAGCTGTGTAATTACTGCAGGGAAACCCTGCACTCACGGAGTGCAGCAGACCAGGTGCACTTGGTTGCAGGGGTGAAGGGAGGCGGGGTGGGCTAGGAAGCCCACAAACTGAGAATGCTAATAATTTTTTTGCTGTCATTGAACTGGGATTGTATCTTGTATCCTTTCATGTTCACAAAGGCCTTATCCCAGCTTCTTGCTGGATAAGGAACACCATGTAGAAAGGGACAGGTCTTTGTCTCCTTGGTGGGGGTGTGTCAGGAATTCCCCAAGACTGTCCTCAGGTCTGGTGTTGCACTAGGGGCCTTGAGGGACTTGGCATCTAGTCCCCCTCCTAGCTGTGATTTTTGCAAAGACTCACGCAGTGTCAACGAAGCAGAAGGTGTGCAAGGTGAAGGCTGGAGGTATCCTACTTCAAGCTTCCCACAGCCCCTCCTGCTGGAATCACCCAAGGCATGCTTAACTTCGTCAGGAGCACTTGTGTGTGACAACATGTGTGAAACGTCTTCCAGGGAGTCTCGTTAGAGACTTAGCATCTGAGGTTTTTATTGGGGACTGTCCAGGTAGACACCTTCGGCCGGACAGGTATCAAAATTCCCGACTTGCAGAAGGACAGGCGGTCAGTATAAAAATCACATGGTTTATAGAGGCAATCTAGGCACATATCGAACCATTCCTATCAGTCCAGGCAGGGCCGGCCTCACCAGCAGGCTTTTCTAAGGATAGCCAGCACAGACCTGCTGTGCTGACTTTCTGCCCAGTGTACAAGGGTGAGGCTTAACTTTTACACCGTGCCTGAGTATGTTTTTAACGGGGACAGGGGAAAAGTGTGACTGTATAACAAACAAGGGGAGCACTTGGGGAAAAATAAAGAAAACCTTTGTTAGGCTAGTTTAAAGGGTGATTTCCATCTTTCCTTTCTATGAGGGGACTCTAAAGTGTTTGCGGAATAACTGGAATTAAAATGTAAAAAAATTTAAAGTAAATTGTGCTTTTCAGTATAAGCTCCATCAAATTCAAGACACTTATAAGCAGCGATTCCTGCCATTTAGTTTATCCTTTAAGAACTGAGAGTTCTAGCAAATTAACCAAACCATGTCAATGCAGTCTTTTTTTTTTTACATTATTAATCGATTGCTCATTTTGTGTGTTTTTTTAATTTAAGATTAGGAAACAAAAAGAAGTGAGAAGGAGCCAGACCAGGACTGTAAGGTGGATGCCTAGTGACTCCCCTTGGAAACGGTTGCCAACTTGCCCTTTTTGATGAGAGGAAGGAGCAGGACCCTTGTCGTGGTGGAGACAGGGCCTCGGTTGAAGCTTTCCTTGGAGTTTTTCTGCTAAAACTTTGGCTGACTTTCTTACCACACTCTCTCGATCAGCAGGCGTCACTGTTCTTTGGCTCTCCTGAATGTCAACAAGCACAGTGCCTTGAACATCCAAAACCCTGCAGGCCCTGCGCCTGCCTGAGCGCTTTCTGTGCTGTCATTGTGCTCGCTCTTCAGGAGCACACTGGAAAAGCCAAGGTTAAAGTGTTCCTTATGCTTCGATGAAGGAGGTCTCCCACTTTGGGCTTGATCTTCAGCAGCATCACTTTGTGCCTTCTTACAATGAGCTGCCCTTCCATAGTTCAATCACATCAGCCCCATTGTGCGGTTGCTACCACAGTGGTTCAAACATTCACTGCTTGAACTTGATAACAGTAACGCATGCTTATTGAGAGTGCTGTGAGAAAGTTAACCCAATCTGTAGCTCCCCTCCCCGACAGCACCCCCCAGGAACCCTTATTCTACTTGCTGTCTCTATGGATTCATCAATCCTGGGTTTCATGCACTGAAAACCAGCAAAACATATAACCATATAATTCTGGAGGGTTACCCCAGTGACCAAATGCATCTGAGATAAGCCTCAGTATGGGAAAAACAGACACAATGTTGGAAACGAGATCAGGCCCAGCGTGCCTCAGAGCAGGGACCGACTGACAAGGTTTTAACCATCAGGTCAGGTTTGTCCTCTTGGTCTGGTGTAGTCATCTCCCAGTGCATTCTGTTTGGTAACCAGTCTCTTACCCCCCTCTGGTTTCCAGCTCATTTATTTCTGCTCTGATATTTATGATTTCTTGCCTTTGGCGGTTGGAGGGTTTATGTTGTTGACTCCGTTTTAGTCCTTGGAGGTGTTACGGTGTTGGACATGGTTTTCTCCTCCTTTTACGTGTGTGAACATCTGCTTTTGATGGCGCATCGCCCCTGTAAACTTCCATAAAGTGTTAGTGACTTCAGTGTTCTACCCAAGCTTCCCCTAAACTTGATGTTTGCTCTTCAGTTCGTGCTGCTCTGATGGGGCTGCTCTCCAGCCTGTGTCTCGCTCTTCCGAGTGCCCTAAAGCAGCGCGCATGCGCGCCTGTTGTGCCGTGTTAGTGCGAGCGTGTCCTGGTGCAGAGACTTTTACAGTCCACACAGTTTTTCATAGTGTGTATTTTCCGTGAAGCTTTGGAAGGCCCCTTGTATTTACTCACCAGCCTCACAGGGCCTGGTAGTTTGTGCATGTAAAGCCGGTGTTGTAAGCGCTCTGAAAGAGCCTCACTGCACATTGGGGAGGTATAGAAAGTCAAATTTGTGACCGGGGAGCATAGGGAAGCTGGAATGTGGATGGTGATTGGATCAGCCAGAGTTCCCTGGAAACCACAGGAGCAGATTTTTAAGGTCATTTCAACAGTGATTGCTTTCTTCCATCCATGTTTTCCTCGTAACGCTCCCTTTTGTTGTGCTCAGCTGTTTCCCTGCCTTAAAATGATGATTTTAGAAGGTGTTCTTGAAGCTTTTTCGGGTGTCACTAGTACTACATTTCTTCATGAGGTTACTTGGATGTTGGCTCTGCTAGAGCTGAGGTTCTGCTGAGCCGCCAGCCGGCAAGGTCTCCACGCATCGACAGTGCTTGCTGGGTGCTGAGCAGGGGCCCAGAGATTGTTCATTCAGGGCTTGTTAGTAGGGTGAGCCTTCATTTGTGAGCAGTTTATACGATGGATTGGCTTCTTGTTTACACTGATATGTACATTCCCTTAAAAAAGAAAACAAATGTGGTTCCATAGATAATACGTTTGAAAAATATGCAAAGGTGCACAGTAAGAAGCCCCACCCTGTCTCCCATGTACCCGCTGCTCTGGCGCCATCCTAGAGCAATTTTCCAGTTCACAATTTCTTTGTGTCTTTCCAGAGAGCTTTGTGTAGATGTAGGGGCTTCAAACAGTGTGTGGGGAAAATGGAATGGGAAGAGAATGGCATTTTTTTCCACAAAGATCCTTTGTATGTTGCTTTTCGCCCTGTTTTACATAATCGGTAAAAGCCCACTGTGTGTACTCTCGTGTTCCCTCTGTGTATCTATGCACTTTAGCCAGATGAGCATTAGTTACATTCCAAGAGGATGGACAGAAAGCAATGGTGCCAAAAGCTATTTCTTTTCCCGAGAAAGGAAATTGTGTGTCTGTGTTTTGATGGTAGATTTTGATATCTGATCCTAGTTTCTAATGAAGCCAACATTCCGAAAAATATCAGTTCTGTGAGTAATTAGGTGGTTTATAATTGATTGAAGCACAAAATGTCATTTTGAAGCTTAAGTTATTAATGTTTTGTTTTGTTTCGCTTTGTAGCTTGCAATCCGAAGAGCCACAATAAGTAGAAGCTTTACCCCTGTCTTTTTGGGAAGCGCTTTGAAGAACAAAGGCGTCCAGCCCCTCTTAGACGCCGTTGTAGAGTACCTGCCGGACCCCTCGGAGGTCCAGAATCACGCTGTGCTCCATCAGGAGGGGTAAGTCTATGGATGCTTCACTGCTGGAACAATCGAAACTCAAGCTCTTGCCATCTGATCGATGCTGACTCACAGCGACCCTAGAGGACAGGGTGGGAACTGCTCCTGTGAGTGTCCGAGCCTTTCACAGGAGTGGAACGTCTTGTCTGTCTCTCTCAGAGGGGCTGCTGGTGTGAAGATGCTGACCGTGCAGTGAGGGCAGCGCCAGGACTCCTCTTGGAGTAGCCCAGGGTCTGCAAAAGGAGATACCTCTACCTCATCCTGGAGGATGAGCTGTAGTGACAAACATTTTTAATTTCCGGG